ACTTTACTTTTTAGTTCGGCCCTTGCGCCGTGTTTTCCTGGGGCTTCTCTTTTTGGAGAAATTTCTCGTAGATCCGTCTTGGCCTCGCCGGGCCGTGTAAGGAACAGCCCCGAAGCACACCTGGGGAGCCCCGGGACGGATTTCTTGTCAGCTCCCGGGCCGTCGGTTCCGGGACGCTAGCCGAGCTGTCAAAACGCCTCGGCCAGGTGGTCTCCCGGCCCCGGCGGGCGGGTGAGGAGGAAGCGGGCAGAACTAGGGCTTTTTTCTTTGTCAGACAGCCGCTCCTTTAACTTTTCTGGTTCCCAAACCTGGGCTTTCGTCTCTTAATGATATATTAGGAAGTCCTTTGACTTCTTCCTCCCCCTCCCCCAACCCCAGCCCCGCACCGCCCAGCGCCGAGGAGCTGCTCCCGGTGATCGCCCAGCTCCCGGGGACGGCGTGCAGCAAGTTTTGGAAACGGAGCCAGTATTCCCACAGCAGGCCGAAGGCGAAGAGCACATTTGTTCAGAGAGAATGCAGATGTAAATGTGGCTGAACTTACATCGAAGTCGTCTCTCTGGGCTGTTACCCGGTCGGGAGTGTGCTTTTGAGCAGAGATCGGACTGTATGCCTCCGGTTATTCGATTAGCAGAAATGTCTTTTTGCAAAAGGGCCAGGCGACAACTTTGCCTGTAAATGAAGAAGCCCGTTTTAGTGCCAGCGAGTCGCTCAGCGCTTGTGGCTCTTGAGGGTGCTGGGGACGAGCTCAGATCTGTGAACGTCTTGTGCGGAGTTGTATGTAGAATGGCGTGGATTGCTTACTCATTTCATTATGATGGGCTCATTGAACTGTCGGTCGTGGAAGGGGGCACCGCGCCGCGGAGGAAATTAGCACATTTATGGATAGTCTGCCTTTTTTTTTTTCTGTTGAGGTGCATCCATTTAGTAATAGCATTGTTACGTTTGGTGATACATAGTAAAAATAGTGATGGTAACTCAGGCAGAGCGGAACAGGGTGTGGGAAACCCATGAAGCCCTTGACTGGATGTACTCTTGTTTGCTTTGCTCTCCTTTTACTATGAAAATGATTCAGGGCCTTCAACTTGCCTCCATATTTTATTGCCAGCTCTTACCCAGCTATGACAAATCGTGAGGGAAACTAGTACAGGATGCATACATTATTACATTAGCTGCTTTGTGATACCAAGTTAGGGTTTATTATTGCCACTTGCGTTGTAACGTCTGGTATAAAATGCCATTGTTATTCCTGTATTAACTGAAATCTGGCGAAGGAAGGTGCAGTTTTAAGTTAACTTTAAACTTCTTTGCCACTTTTTTTGTATTCTTTAGCAACACTTACCAAGCCATAGTAGGGTTTTTACTTGATTGCTTCCTATTTTCACTCTTTTCTTGTTTTTATTTTTCCTGAACATTAATTTGGAATTATTACAAGTTTTAGATTTGCTTTCAAATTCTTAGTCTAGAAAGCTTAGACTTATCTATGTTGTTACATGCCTCACACTTACACTTACATATGTGTGTGCACATTCCCCCTGAGATTAAAATGAGCTCATTTGTATTAGTGCAGCTCCTGGGTACACCAGAAGAAAGGTTGGTTTATTATTTTAATTTTTATCTCTTATCAATGAAGGAAAAAAAACCCTTTGAGAAGTTAAAACATTTTTACAGAATGACACTAATCTAGCAATATAAAAACATCAACAATTTGGAAAATGTTCAGGACAACTCTAAGTCTTAAAAGTGTTTTCTCTTTTAGATTTGAAAACTGGTGCAGCATTCCTTATAGGATATTAAGTCTAGAGGTAACTTTGATGGTTCTAAACTTTTTAATGAATTCTTTAAAATTAGGTGTGTCTTTCGAAGGGAATGGAGTCTCTGGTGTAGAAACATGTAAATGGAAACTAACGTGTGAAATGGAAAGCAAAGAGAAGGGGGTTCAATTGTGTGTCTACACTGTATTTAGATACATGCAGAGAAGACCCTGTAGTTAGCTGGGTAGCCCAGACCCTGAAAGTGAAACTGATGTGTAACATGTAAATTAGGCTTGTAAACATTAAGATTATGTGGAATGGCAAATAGTTACCTAAAAAACAAAAATTAATATTTTTGTGGAATACAGAGGAGATAAAGGTGTTTGTTGTCAGTGTTATTTGAATGGTCAGTAAGTGGGTGGTTTTACGCTAGGGAAGATGCCTGTTTTTTTAAAATAGGTTTGTGTATTTGTTTTGGGGTTAAAAAAAGGTAACCACGCACTAATAGTTTTACTTTGAGTTTAAATTTTTGAATTTTTAATAATTAAGTAAAGCAGTTAAACATTTTCTTGTTTTATAATGTTAGCTAATTTTTATGTTTTATCACATTTGAAGAGTATATAGTTACTGGTTTTACATTAACTATTATAACTTTAAAATTCTGTGTGCTGCCTAAAGTCAGGAGTTTTGCACTGAAGCTATTAATCTTAGAGTTTGAAAAGTAGGTATATAAATAGGGAAATGTCACGTGAAACAGTAAAATTTACATTTGTCTGAAAGTCCTTTTTGACAGTGAGGACTGTCTATTTGCTTATTCGGAGTAGCTTATCACCTTAACAGACGTACAGGGCCACCCGTCGGTGAGGAAGCTCCTGCTGCAGAGGAGGCGTGTGTAGAAGTTGCAGTTATTTTTCTATTAGTGTTAAGGAAACTCTTCTTGAAGCTTTTATTTTATTTTTTTCCCCCATAGACTATATATTCACATTACTAAGTTGGGAAGTCAAGGAATTACATTTTACCATATTTCTTACCAAGTCAACAAGTGTGATGTTAAGGATGGGGTAGATGTGAGGGTGTCATGGAAGCAGCAGGTGGTGGGGACAGGATTTCTGAGATAGTATCCTTGACTCTTGGAATAAACTCTTTATAGCCTGAACCACTTTCTTTTCAAAGGGAGAAAATCACCTTGAGCATCACTGTTGTAGAAAACTTGAGCATTGATGCCAGGCAGGAATCAGCAGAAAGTGGCTGTGTTGCAGGTGACTGTTTGTTGCTGTTCTATATTTGTAAAGCCCCTCCCCCACCAAAATTTCCCATTTCCAGAACTGTGAAATAAGTGATACAAAAAATCTGTATTGAATTATAGTATGTGCGGTTTCATAGGGCAACAGTTCATAGTTGAGAAATATCACTATCGTTTGTGCTTTTTGAGATGATGGAAATTTGTAATTTTTATGGTAGTTATTCTTTTTCTTATTTTTCAAGAAATTAGATAAGTGGAAATTTTCAGTAATTACTGGTCTCTGGGACTTAACAGGCACTGAAATATTCTAATTTATTTGAAAAACTGATCCTAGAATGGCAGCCTGTCTTACTTGTTAGGTGATTGTTCTTTAACCTGACCTCATTGTAGTTTGCTGTTGCTCTGTTGGTCTTATTCATGGAAGAATCTCTGGTCTTTGAAAAGATGATGTTCTTAGTCTAACATAATTTTATATTTGGTGTAATATGGTCATTAATATGTAGACTTCATAAACATGGATTTTCATATAAATTTAAAAGTATCATGACAGTTTATTTTTCCATTTTGAAAATAGTGATTTAGTACATTTTACTATTAGTTAATTCTACCATGCCAGATTAATAGTCAGTTCTCAGGGTGAAGAGACACACTGCCCTTCTCCTCCCCTCCTCTCCCACCGTTTTGCAGAACTGCATGTTATTCCCCAGGCCGCAATCAGATTTCCTCTGGGCAGATAGCGATTGTCTAACCTTGTGTCCTTAAGCCACTTACGGTTATGACTAAGGGGCTTCCCTGAAACTTCATTGACTTTCCAAAATGAAAATGATCAATTTTCAGTCTTAGAGAACTTTAGGTGCTCTCTCTGCTCTCACCTGGTGGGAGGTGTGAGGTACCTTGATAGGATTTGATATAGTTCTTAGTCTTTGAGACATTTGGACTGAACATAATTTTTAGCTGATAGAGAGTAAACTTTCTAGTTTGTGTGTGTGTGTTTCTGTGTGTGTTTCCCTCCCTCCCTCTCTTTTTAAAAAAAATTGTTTCAGCCCATCTTTTAATTTCAAGAAGCTGATTAATTCCTTCCTCTTCTATTTTGAAGTTTTCTTTATCTTGCTTATGCTATAGTGGCTATTTTCAGAACTTCTTGGTGGTATAAGTTGCAAAAGTTGTGAACTGAAATAGGGATGGTCTTGTCTCTTGTCTCAGTGATAACCTGCATATAAATGTATGCTTGTGGTTACTGTGAAAATTCAGTAGAGGGATTAATCTTGAATTTGTAATTGAAAGTGTCAGTCTATTTGTAGAATTTGAAGGACTTAACACAAGTTAAAGAGAAGCAGGAATGACACAGCTCTTTTTGCATTTTCCCTAGAAAAAGCCTCATGTAAAAGACAGGAAAATTGTTTGATTTTGCATCTGCTATTAATTTTGTGATAGCAATAACTATGTATGATGCACAAATGCTGAAGTTGTTTTAAGTCTGAGAAATCCTTTTCTGTAACTTTTTCATTTGGCACACGTTATTCAAAGAGCATGGAAGTGCTAAATATGTGCTGGAATAGATAGTCAACTGTGGAAAAAGGTTCATTGTGGCCAAGAAGGGTCCACAAAAATTTGGAGGAAGCAGTACATGAATTAGACCTTGAAGGATCAATAGGATTTAGCCAAATTGAGTGAGAAGAAAGCGAGAGGATGCCGCGTAGCAGAGTGAATACAATGATTGAGGGGAGTGTAAAGCTGTTTTCCTGGTGGGGTGTGACTAGAAGAGGGCTTGCTTACTGTTGGGGTGGGGCCGACCTGTGATGGTCCTTGAATGTCAGGCTGTTGAGTTTATAGTCCAGGCATTATGAACTGTTTACAGAGACTAAGTAGGTAATTTAAATGAGGTGCATGCTTCGTGTAAGCTCCTGAATGATATCTGACACTTAAGACCTTGAGTTGGGGGAGAAAATGGTGAGTAGAAACAGCCTGGAGAGTCCTAGGAGTCTTTATGCCTTGCTTGGGTGACACTGGTAAGACAGTTCTGGCTAATGGTTGCCATGTGAGTCTATGAGCTGTTGTTTCTAGGTACTATGGTTTTCCAACAAAGTCTGGAAACCTGGATTTTTATGTGAAATCTCTTGATTGTTAAACATTTTCAATTAATTAAGATCTAAAACACTATTTGGAACTATATCTTGTGGGCTAGGTTTCATTTATGGACTGCCAGTGGACTGCAGGTCTTCAACCTCTGCTTTATGCCTAGATTGTTTTATTTTTTAAAGTTTTAAAAGTAGATATTTGCAGTCTTCCTGAGAAAAAGAATGTTACTACATTATTTTGTAACCTGTGTACATTTTATATGGTTGGATGTAGGTACTCGAATACTTAATGATTTGATAATGGCTATTTTAGGAAAATCATCCTGGTAATAATATGAAGAGGGAAGTTACCTGGAGGCAGAGATAATGGGATATTGCATAGTCCTGGTGTGAGGTGATCTAGGCAGAGGGTAAACTGTTGGTAGTGTGGATGGAAAGGAAGAGAGATTTCAGTCAATGCAGGGGAGGAATTTTGAGTTTCTGGCGTAGATATCTACAAGACTTGGGAATCTTTGGGGATGTGCGATTAGAATTTAGGAGCTGGATTAGGATAGGTAATTAAAAATCTGACTTAATCTGAAATCACTGTAAATGTGG